TGCCTGCCGGGTCCCCGCTCCTGCTTCTGCCAGCACCGGGAAGCCCCTGGCCTTCGTTCCGGGCCTCCCACACATGGGTTCTGTCCTCTCACCTGGGCGCGAGCCCTCGCCCCGCGCTGGGCCTCAAGGAAACCCTGCACTCACCCCACCGCAGGGCCGTAGGAGTCCGGCCTCCATTTCCGGTCCCCTCAGGGCCAAGGCGGCTGAGCCCATTGGCCAAACGACGTGCTGCTCACAAGACCCAGCCGTCTCATTGGCTCGTCTGCGAGAGAAACGCCTCTTTCGGCGGCTTCGTGCTACAAGGAGGGTCGTCCCAGAGCAAGGTTATGAGTGGGCTGAAGCGATGGAGTTTCGGACTCCCGACTGTGGGAAACCCCTGTAAGACGATTTAGTTTACACAGGCCTGCTAAAATAGGGTAGGCGGGCACTAGGAAGCAGTAGCTTGAGTTCACACCTGATCATGCCATCTCCGCACATCCCTTTCCTTGCATGTAAACTAGAGATAAAAGCTTTGTGTGGAAATACACTTACTTTAGTCAAAGTATGTAAGATACTTAGCACAAGAAGATGACCTACTAAAATGTTGCCTGTTATTTGATGCCTAAATTTGTGAGCCAAGAAGTGCTTTCCTCCAACTCTATCCAGTTATTGGTATTAAATTCTGCAGTTACAGAATATTTTCACCCAAGCATTTCTTCCCCTCTCCAAACCATTTTGGCAAGTAACTGTGCCCTCCACTAACACAAGGTGTATAGGAGGCAGCTGGGGTCAAGCTTCCTAAAGCTTTGTCTGGTGATGCAGAGTTCAAATGCTCTTGAGTGGGTAAGATCTAGAGGACTGACATTACCTTTTGCAGGTTTCAGATATCCCATACCTTGTTTTAGTCCATACATGAAGGACCCTCTTCTTTCTCAAATGAAAATAGTCTGAAAATTACCGGGCAGGATACAGGAATCTAATTGGCAGGATGTCTCTTCACTGTTTGTAGACTATTTGCCCTAAAAATATTGTAAAATTGTAATTTCCTCCCCCTGCAACCTTCCTAACTTGTACAATGTTACGTTATAGACAGAATTGTTTCCAAGCATTTCATAGCAAAAGCATTCAAAAACAGTAATACATGTTGTGTATTGATTAACTCCCAGTTCCTATCCTTCTGACAACTCTGAACCTTGTGTGAGTCATTCCATACACATGAAACTATTTCACAGGCAGGATTCAGCAAATCTAGTTGAAGACAACAGTACATCTCAAGTGATTTTTCTGAATGCATATGTCAGTTTCTGAATCTAAATAAAGCAGTATTAAAAATAATACAGAGGATCAGCAAGTCGCATAGTGGTTAAGGCACTGGACACTCCCACATGGCCAACCACTCAAACCAATTTTGAGTTTTGGACCTGGTGGCTTGCTTTCTCACTTTCTCTCTCACTGTCTCTCTCTGGTCAAAAAAAAAAAAAAAAGATTTTTTAAAAATAAATAAAAATTTTAAAAAATTCTTAAAAAAAAAAAAGATACACATAATGGATTCCTACATTTCTATATCCTGCTCAAGCAAAAGTAGGTGTATTTCTTGGCAATCCACACATCATGAATACTATTTATTTCACTGTAGGACAATTTCTCATATGTTTACATTGTAGAATGATTAAGGCAAACTAACATACCCATCACCTCACATACTTAACATTTTTTATGGTGACAATGTGCATGTACATGCTATTCTTTATATTTTTTCCAAATTTCCCCACAAAGGGAATGTTATTACTTTATTCCCTCACAAAAAGATCAATGGTAATCAAATGAGGTGAAAATTCACTTCAAGATTTTGTCTTTTTTTCTTCTTCTTCTTCTTTTGGAGAGGTTTTTGCTATAGGGTGAATGCGCTCGCCAGAAAGACAGAGAGACAGAAAGTGAGAAATCACCCCCCAGGGAGGATGGCCATGCCACAATCCCTTCTCCATTCTTTCTGGATCTTGGGCACACACGCACATGTGCCCAGCGTGAGTTTAAGCCACCAGGTCCAGGACTTGAACTGTAGTCGACTACATGGGAGTTTAACGACATAGCCATTACGCCAGCTGCTCGTCCC